GTTGTTTAAGTTAAAACAAGTTGATTCATATAGTTTTTTAATGTTCATGCTTATAGAAAATGTTGAGAAGCCCAAATAGCCCAAACTAGTTTGGGCTTTGAGAAAACAGTTTGGACCAGAAACCTTAATCAATATAACAAATTATTATGTGCGGATTTTTTAGTATCTTTATCATATATTTCAACACATTGTAAATGTTGACAACAAAATTCAACTAACAATATATTTTTTTGAAAACATGAATTATAAAAAGAAATTTCTATTAATTTATCAGTTACAATGTAAATCTTTATGGTAAAATTTAATAATAAATCAAATAACTTTAAACCATGATAACTTTTTTTTACATAATAAAATTAAACAAAACTTTTTATATTTTATTGTTTAAGTCTTCTACAATGAAGTTACAGAGAGCTTTTTTCCCTACCTCATTTGGTTATAAAGTTTTTCTATTAACAATCTTCTTTCAATTTCTTTAGAATATATAAAAAATTTATTTTTTATTCAGCAAAGAAAAAAAACTCTCTGTAATCTAAAAGCTTAATCTATTTACTATAATTTCCCTTAGTTTCATGTCTGTATCTCTTTATTTGAAGGCTCTGATGCAATTTTTATTTATATAGTTTTTACATATATTCTTATTTTTTTAAAAAAAAGTTTGTTATTGATTGGCATTATGTTACATCACCTAATTTTGATTTAATTAGGGCATCTCACACCCCAATAAATAATGCATTAATATATTATTATCTCATCAGTTATATCATCAAGAATTTAGAGAACATTCTTGTCTAATCACAAACAATACATCTGTATTTATTTATCTCATTTTTATCATCATTTTTATTATATCATCACTTATATAATTGATTATCTAGTGTGAAGAAATACATTTGTATTCCTATTAAATTTTATTATGTTCAGAAACTATAAGATAGACAAAACATATCATGTTGATATCAAATAAATAAAGTGATTGATCATGTCATTAAAATAAAAATAATGCTTCTCATGATAATAAAAAAACTACAATAATCAAATGAATGAAATATATTTATAGGTCTAAATATCTAAATTCATTTGATTAGAATCTATAAATATGATAATTTATAACACAATAAAAATAATGTTAACAATGATATTTAATATTGAATTTTAAAATTAATCAATAATTGATTATGGTTACCATTATTATTACTATTTAAATCTATTTGATTAAAATCTATAAGTATAATAATTTGTTATGTAATAATCATGTTGATGTTAAATTTTAAAATCAATAATCAAATAATGATAATTACCATTATTAATATTATCTAAATCAATTTGATATTCTGTAAATGCAATAATTTATAACATAATAAAAATAATATTAATGCTGGTATTAAATGAATTTTAAAATTAAATAATTGATGATGATTACCAATATTGTTACTGATAATTGTAACTTTATTGGAGTTTACAGGTTGTGGAAGATTTGTAAAATTGAATAATCTACTTGTGTAAATAGCATTTGGATGAACAGTTGCAGTAGTTGTTGAAGGGTTAAAAAGCTTTTTATTTGCCTCCTCAAATATTTCACTTATTTCTTTTAATTTATTTTTTTTAAAATAATACTTATGATTATATGTAACTGCATCTTTCCAAAAAGTAATAATTTTTAAAACTTCATCTGCTGTTGGTCTTTTTTTCAGGATCAGCATCAGTGCATTTGTATGCTAACCTAATCTACCATTCTGGAGTATC